TATAAAATATAATTAACTCTAGCATTATTACGTCAGTCTCTTGTTTCGTCCCATAATTATTTGTCGTCGGGCTCGAGTCAATTATTTGGTCCCAGTCAAGTTGAGCATGTCAGTAGTATTTTGTATTTTCATGCCAGCAGTTATTGTGTGCACTGTCAGATCGTAAATTCGTAATTCTAAATTCTTTTTCAGATGGGTAAATTACACATTTTAAATTTAATTAAGAATTAATAAGAAAATATTATAATAAAAAATTAGCAAGTACTCGCATATTTCGTGATCTTTTACCATATTTTGCCTACCTTTTACAAAAATTGACGGGTACGGTTGAACAAAATTTTTTGCAAGAAATTATGGGGTAAATAAGATTAATCTGAATATCATTATTTAGGTTTTTAAAAAATAAGCCAAATTACAAATTTTAATAAATATGGCAAAACAAATACAAGGCATTAATATAAGTGTTGATAACAGAAAATGAGTTAGAGGGTAAATAAGATTAATTAATTAATTTGTTTGATTTCTGTGATATCATTAAAAGGATATTGTTTACAGTACGGTCAGAAAAAAAATATAACTTCTAATAGGATATGGTATTTTTTTATAACTTTTATATTATATATTGTTCATTTATTAATTATAAATAAAAATGGAGGGCATAGTCTTTTTATATATGAGATAATTTATAAAATTTTAGGAGTACATAGTAATTTTTTAAAATATTCATAATTGAAGAATAAAAAAGACTTGACCCAAGTAAATTTGGCTCGTCCACCAAGCTTACCATAATATTACAATTCTTAATAATTCTTAGGCATCTTCTATTTTCTGATATAACATTATCATTGAGAAATTAGGAGTATTAATTAAAGATAGAAGGGGAAAGATGGAAAAAATTGTAAAACATAAATTAGTTAAAATTATTTTATTGATAGTGTGTTTGAATTAAATAATTTCGTATTATAAAAAATTGGAAGGAGACGGTAAGACAGCCATCCAACGTGAACCAGGAGGCCCGTCCGCGCTGTTCCTTTCTGAAGTTTCTCACTCTCACTCCCGAGCAGGCCCTTCAATATCTCCGCTTTATACGTTTTTTGGTTCCCAAGGTCCTAAAACTCAATACCCAATTAATACTCTTATTTTATGATCCTTTCTCCCGCTACCGCCATTAGAATGCTCTCCTCCTTTCTCTCCGGACTGCTTTCAAAATCAAAAGTTGAAAGTTGAAACTTTTTGAATAGTCTGTTTAACCCAAAACCAGCCCAAAGGCCATGACTGAGAGCACCACGAAACCACCAACTCAGTTTCACTTACCCTTTCTTCTTCTCCTTCACCAAGTTCAGGACTTGAAAAGATCCGTGCTTGCTATATTCTTCTGCTTCCCCACTTACTGTTTCGCTTTTCTTCTTCTCTTCCTCTTGGCTTACAATGGTTTCACAGTTTTCTGGGTTCATGTCCCTTTCTTGGCTAAACCGCTGTCGAAACCCATTGTTTTCTCGCCTGTGAGTGACGCCAGGGAAGAATCAGTTCGGAAATGGTCTTCTTCTTCTTCTTCCCAGTTGAAGCTGTCTTCTTCTGTGCTGTTTGCCATCAACAAGGATTCATCTGCGACTTTCTCGAAGATTCATTTGCCCATCTTGCAAAATTCGTCATTTCCCGCGACAACTGCCGAGAAATTTCTCTTCCACAGGTCGAGACGAGCCAGGAGACACAAGAGGGGCCTAAGAAGTTTGCGCTCAGAAGGTCAGGTCTCGTGGTTTCAGACCAGAATCAAAGTATTCTTTGCTGGGAAGAATTCTTCTTCCTCTTCCTCGTCATCATCCTGTAAGATCAGGTTCTTCATGACTTGGATTGCGTCATTAGAATCATTTGGTGACATACAGTTTTCAGCCATGGAAAGCTTGTTCAAGTCTCACCCAAAAGCTTGCTTGGTGATAGTATCCAAATCACTGGACTCCCATGGAGGCTCTCAAATCCTGAAGCCATTTTTGACTAATGGGTTCAGAGTAACAGCAGTTGCCCCAGATTTTGATTGTATATTCAAAGACACTCATGCAGAGTCATGGTACAATCGTTTGAAGGAAGGCAATGTGAATCCAGGTGAAATCTCTTTAGGCCAAAACCTCTCAAACTTGATTAGGCTTGCTCTTTTGTACAAGTTTGGAGGCATTTACATGGACGCAGATGTTATAGTATTGAAGAGTTTCTCTAAACTGAGAAACACCATTGGAGCACAGAACTTGGATGCAAAAACTGGGAAATGGAGCAGACTGAACAATGCTTTGCTGATATTTGATAAAAAGCATCCATTACTTTCCAAGTTCATTGAAGAATTTGCACTCACATTTGATGGGAACAAGTGGGGTCACAACGGTCCTTACCTAGTCTCAAGAGTGGTCTCTAGGGTGAGTGGAAGACCAGGATTTAACTTCACTGTTATGCCACCATCTGCATTTTATCCTGTGGACTGGAGAAGTATTGCTCATCTGTTTCAGAGACCCAGAGATGAACTCCAATCAAAATGGCTGGTGAAGAAACTTGAACAAATTAACAAGGAAAGTTTTGCTGTGCACTTGTGGAACAAGAGGAGTGGGAAACTTGAGGTGGAAAAAGGAAGCATTGTTGATAGTATCATATCAAGGAGTTGCATTTTCTGCAACTCATAGTTCAAGTTTGTAGCTACCTAAAGGGTTATATAGAATCGTCATTCCTATAAAACTTTTCTGTACTGTCTTTATTGTAAGTGGATATGGACTGATTGTGACTGGGTTCATTCCACTATAGGAAAAAAAATATAGTTTGAAATCATAGGGCTTATTGTATGTCTTTCAGAATCTGGAAAGAAAGAGGTAAAAAATTTATGTTATTTCCTTCATGTCTGGATTTTGATTACGTTTTGAATCTGGAAAGTGGGATTAGATTGACTGATTTTTAATTCCAGAAGGGAATGGAAAAGGCTTATCATGATTGTGACTATTAAGTCGTGAGAGTGATCTCTCAGCTTCCTATCTGAATAGATCACCTACTTTCTCCCATGCATGTGACAACAAACTCATTTTTTTTTGTCAAGATTTATTGACCTACGGGTCCGGACATTGAAGATTTTGGCCCAGTGGTGAAAGTTTTTTAACTCTACTTTAAATAGCTGCTTCACAAAAGCTTATTGCAGAGTCTGTCTTAATAAATCCTTAGGATGCAAAATGTTCTCCCAGTTCACTTGCTTTGATAAACTGATCATTGCTCTCAGATTTATTTTTCAAGGACATTGCAAGTATTTTCTGCTTACTGTTCACTCTGCTTCATTCTGTTCCCCTGTTTGAGGGGTATTCAAATCATAAGTTCATTGTGTTTCTGGCAAAAACTTCCATGAGTGGGTCAAAGGAAAAGACAATGAAACCAGTTGTGGATTAATTCCAACAAGGTAGTGAAACATGGAATAATGAAGTCATTGAACTATTTTTGTCTGTGACTTCAATTTGCTCCCCTTTCTTTTTCTGGGTCATGGTGGCATTAATTGCATCACATGGTGACAAGGTTTAATCATTGTAGGCATCTCTCTGTCCTTCACAGTGAGCTTCATGTTGATTTAGAGAGACATCCAAAGTACTAGTATCACTTTTTAACTATGGCAAAAAAAAAAATCACTTTTTAATTGAACCATTTTTTGCACTTTTTATTTGTTTACATTATTTTTTCTAATTTAGCATGTGACAAACTGAACGTCCTGAAATTTTTAATTTAATTTTTAAAATTTACAACTTAGCTTCTGAATATTTTGGTTAATTAATTTTTATTAAATAGTTATAAAATTAATATTTTTCAATTTCCAAACCTTAAAGTGTCATATCCCTAACAGTTGATTCAACCTACTTTCAACAATTAGGCGTTAGTTCACTCACAAACTCCTTGCTCATCTTTTGTTCATTTATGGTGGTTGTCAAGCTTTGGCTGGGGTTTTTTTAATTTGGGTGTGATATCTCCCTGACGCGAAATCTTGATCTAATTTAAATAATGTAATTATTTTTAAAAAAATTATTACTATCGTTAAAATATTTGTTTAAAATTATATTTATTTTATATTATTTTTATTTATAAAACAATAATTAAATTTAAACTATTTAAACTAAATTTAGATGATCAAAAAAATCTGCACTCTTTGCCTCTTTGCCCATGGGGAAAAAAAAAAAAGGAAATGGAGAAGCATTAGAGTTAATCAGGACATCAGGTCCATCCTCCAATCCAAAGGCATCGTCATTTCTCTATTTTTTATATGATTTTTTTTGGGCCAACAAGCCACAATTGCTTACAAGACAAACTTACAGTCGTCACAACTCACACAACCACTACAAGACAAAGCTGATCAAGACAGCAAGAAAAGACAAACTAAATTACCGCACAACTTAAATTACACCAACTAAAACAGACAAATAGTAAATAAACACGATGGGAACTATATCTACACACATTATTCACAGAACAGTAGTATCATTTACACCTGCAAATTTTATGTAACGCATGAAGCCTAGATATTAGTTCATTTTTTCCTGAGATGAGGAATATGAACATCCTCCATTAGAAGTTGGCAGTTGGCAATAATCTTAAAACACATGAATAAGGGCCAGTTTGTTTAGGATTTTTCTGTTTTTTTTTTTAAACCCATTGTTGCCATGAGAATTTAAACAGAACACATGAAAAATGCATTGGAAAAAGCTTACTTTGATAAGCTATTCAAAGAAAAAGCTGAAAAAAGATTTTTTTTTCCCACAAAACTTTTATTGTTAACTTAATATTCTTTCAACAACTCATCTTAAACTTATTAACTAAAATCATTCTATTTCAAGAATTTGGACGACTTTGTTCTATCAGCATGTTCCATTATGCACTTGATTATTAAAGCGATGACCAAATGATCTCTCAAGTATCAAACCACTAGAACTTAGGGACAGAGACAATGCCACGCCCACGCCCATGCCACCGATGGTCCCAGAACAAGCCCAAGAGACAGAGACAATAGAATTTCCATTATAAAATAACTCTGACAAATGAATCAATGTAATCTGAACTCAACTCCCAACAGAATAAGAAAAGAATTACATAGCAATATTAATACATATGCACATTGAGATCTACTTCAGCTAATATTTTAATGACTCGTATTGGTGGCTTCCTACAAGAAATAACATCACATAGTAAAATTTCTCCTCTTTGTTTTGTTAGCAACTGCAAGTCTTGTTCCCCAGGTCCTGGATGCTGCAGCAACAGAACATACCCTTTATGAATCAAAAGCAGAAATCTCCGCTCACACAAGAATATGGCCAGCCACCAACTTGACAGTATGCATGTTACCCGTATATATATTATATTTATATGTTCATATAACTCATGACTTCTGAACCAGCCTCTCTACGTCTCCCATTTCAACCTCGTTTCTTTGCCATTCGCCATCTCCCTCATCTTGGAACACCTTTTCAATCTCCTCCAAGGTTTTCCCTTTTGTTTCAGGAACACAGTAGTAAACAAAGGCAACAGCTGAGCAAGAAATAATCCCAAAGACAAAGAAGGTTCCTGCGACTGTAATGGCGCGAGTAACGGAGAGGAAGGACATGGAGAGCACCCCACTACTGACCCTACTTCCCACTGCTCCAAGGGCTGATGCTTGTGCTCTAAGTCTCAAAGGGAAAATCTCAGATGACACAACCCAGCATATAGGGCCAAGTCCTATAGAGAAGAAAGCTACATTCCCACAAACCGAAATAATTGCCATTATGATCCCTGCCTTTTCATGGCCAAAGAAAGCCAAAGAGAGGCTAAGCCCAAATAAACACACAGTCATACCAATAGTACTCACAAACAGCAATGGCTTTCTGCCTAATTTGTCAATGAGAAATATAGCTACCAAGATGAACATAGTTTTCGTGAATCCAACAGCAACTGTTGCAGCAAGAAGTTGAGTGTTTCCTGTTATCCCAGCATTTTTGAAGATAGTGGGGCTATAATATACTGTTGTGTCTATGCCTGTGATTTGTTGGAAAATCTGAATTCCACAACCAGTGATCAGCATCCTTCGAACTGGTGGAGTAGGATGCAGCATTTCTTTCCAAACAGCTTGTGATTCATACTTCTCAGCATTAGCCATCCCAGCAGCTACCTGTATTTCAGCTAGCTTCTCTTCCACCTCTTTATCACTCCCATTAATCTTTGACAGCACCATTCTAGCTTCATCGATCCTGTTCTGCACCACTAACCATCTTGGGGATTCTGGTATCACAAATAGAGCAACCGCAATAATAACTGAAGGAAGGAGTCCCACACCAAGCATAACCCTCCAGCTTATATGTGCAGGAAGGCCCGAAAACACATAGTTTGAGATGTACCCAAGAAGTATTCCCAGATTTATGAATATCTCAGGGAATGAGGTGAGAGATCCTCTGGCAATGGCAGGAGATATCTCTGCGATGTAAACAGGAGCAATCATGACCCCAAAACCGATGCCCACTCCAGCTAAGAGTCTTCCTATCATCAGAACCTTAAAGGATGGAGCAAGAGCCATAACAGCACCACCTGCTTGAAAGACAGCTGCTGCTAAGGCAATCGTCCATTTTCTTCCAACGGCGTCAGATGTTTTTCCACCCAGTAGACTGCCCAATAGGGATACTATACTCAAAATTCCAACAAGCACTTCTTGTTGAACTTCTGTTATCTTAAGATCCTCCTGGATAAATATAATTGCTCCACTCATTACACCAACATCTGCAGAAATGCAAACAAAGATGATGGTTATAAAAGAATAAGAAGTAAATGATGGTGCTGGGTCAGTTATCAATATTGTATAAATAAAACGTAAAATTATTCTAATGACCGGCATGTCAAATTATTTAAGTTGAAAGTTATTAAAAGTCATAATTATTTTCAAGGACTAAAATACCACATGTTAAGAAAGTTACAACTTTTAAGAAACTTTCCAGTAATTATTCTGAAAATTCAGCAGCTACTTTCCTATCACTTCTGTAAAACCTAATAACAATAAAATTCAGTAGCAACTGTCATAGCATTCTCCCTTACTTTAACACATGGGTCCTTAGATCTCATTTTCCCTAAATAAAGAGGTGTTTGGTAAATCATCATTATGACCCTATAGGGTGCCAGCAGTCTCAAAGCACTTGTTTGGTACACTTGTATGCAAGAACATTTACGATAACGTGATGCTAGCTAAAGGATGACACTATTTTTAGTAGTATCTCGGATTACCATAAAACCATAGGGATTCCACATTGTACTTCTGCTACTATTTGAACAATATTACTTATATTATTTATATAACCTATTTTTCATTTATGGACATCTCCAGCACCATGATATCTCATCATTTAGAATGCACGATATCATATATTTTAGGTTATTGAAGACTAAACATCCAAATGCCAAAGGTAGAAAACTACATGCTCCCCCAAAATCAGATGTTTAAGTAGACGATAAACTAGATAAATTGAGCAAATCTTACAAAGTATGTCTATAGGCACATTTTAGTGTAATCGACAATCCTACATGTTTACAATTGTCTCATTCTCTCTCTGCCCAATAAATAAAGTTAACGCAATCCGAATAGTTGTTATCCATTCTCAGGTTCCTAAAAAGGATCCACTAGAAGAATTTTGCAAGTTGGAGTATTATACACATTTGGTTGAGACTTGCTTTTCCTGATCTGTCAAGCTTCTTGGATAAAAGATCCCATAAAAAATAATAAAAAATTAATAGTACTAAAAAAATTTCGCATCTAATTTTTATCTAATTAAAAAAGGAATTCCATCACAACCTTTATTCCAAACAAATCTTAATTTTGAAGCGGCCACGAAATTCTCGGCCATTGCGCACAACCGGGATCCAAATTTTCGAACATCCCTAAATCTATGAGCCGTAAAATCCTCGCAAGGAATCAGATCCCATAAAATACAATTGGTCCCAGTTATTCATGTTTCAATAGCAGACTGAAGACAGAATGGTGAACATTCCCCAGAAGATTAAGCAATTTCAGCAAACGGAAAGCAAACACAACGAACATTCATAACAAAGGGATTTCGCCAATTAATCAGCTTAAATCAGAACTAGGAAATTAGATTGAGTCAAGATAATGAAATGCAATTACCAACCATATCCGAGAAGCACAGAATTCAGAGAGGCAAAGACGGCACAGATTATAATATATTTCTTGGTATTTGCCCTTCTGCTCAACGAGGCTTCATCTTCTTCTTCGTCTGCAACAACAGAATCCATCCTCCGATACTTATTCTGGGACCCCAATGAGATCTCAGATAGCCCATTCTCTATCCCATTCCCATTTTCTTGAACACCTACCAGCCCCATTGTTCTGTCTCTCCCTCTTCCCCGCAATGTGAACAATATTTAATAAATCAATATACCCAAAAAAAAAAAAAGAACCAAAATATTGACTAGCTTATATCTCTCTCCCCTCCTCTCTTTTTTTCTCTTGCGAGGAAGAAAGGCTTCGCCTTTGTCTCTGTGGAAGCTTCTTCTTCCCCAAACACCAGAATGCGTGTTTGGGATTCCGATCTGGAGAGAGATGGAGAGACGAAATGTCAAGAGGAAGAAGCAAGGAAGGAGGGAAGAAAATGATGTACCAGAAGGCTTAATTCCGTTTTTGCATTCCTAATGAGAATAGAATTACGAGATTGTCAAAGTGGGGTCGTAGTGTTCTTTTGGGGCATCGTCTTTAGCAATTTCCCATTTTTTTTCCCCAAAGAAAGCAACGCATGTTTCGGCACAATGAAGGAAAAACACATCCCTCAGATTCCATTTCTGCGGTTCGTTCTTTTAAGTTTTAAGGCGAATCGCGAATCGCAATCTGCCACGTCATTGTACGGATAATCAGTAGCAGCGTTCTTATCTGCTCGAGCGCGCCTTACCGGGAGGCTCATTTCTTTTGCGCGGGGACAATGTCGGAGGCAAATTCCGATATTGACCATATGATACGGCTCAGAGGAGTGGCTCGCAACGTCGATGTGCACCGTCGGCAAGGGTTTATTGGTATTTGCAATGGAGAACATTGCTTTCTCTCTTATACCCTTGCGGCGCTGCCGCCTGCCGGGGTTAATAGTGCCGGATATATTATTTTTTAAATAAAAAACGTTATATGATTAAAATAAAAAAAATACAATGTAATATTAGATCCCTATTTTATAAAATAGGGGTAACAGTCTAGCAGAATTTTTAAAAAATGTTATCTCCAATATATGAATAAAATCAGGCCAAACATATATATATATGAATAAAATAAAAAAGTCAATGCAATAAAAAATTCCACAGTAACATTAAAATGAATAAGATCTGCCGGTGCCTGACAAAAAAATTGAGTCAGTACTATCTCCTATTCTCAATATAAAAATTAATTGACTAATTTAAATATATTAAGAAAATTAGTTAAGTTAGCTATTTGTAATAAATAGGTGTTGTAATCAAGTGTATTGGTTTAGCACTACCATTATTATAAAGACTACCTTAAAAAAATAAATAAATATAAAGAACAAAATGAATTGGGTTCTTATATTTATAATCAAAATAAAAGTCAAACGAGTTCTTATATTAAGAACCGGATGTATTACAGTTTTTTAGTTTCTATCTAAATTTTACCTCATTTTAGTTTTTATTTTTGAAACTTAAAATTGATGTTTTCTGTCCTTAAAATTTATTCTCTATATAAATGTTAGTCCTTATAAGCTAAAAATGGTTTCAAATTTCAAGAATAAAAACATTAATATTAATTTTTAAGGACTAGAGAGTGTTTAGCTGAAAACCAAACTATAATTTTTAAAGTAATTTTATAGTATACGAAATAAATATGTAGAAAAAAATTTTATCTTGAGTTGTTTAAAAATATTTTTTAAAAAGTACTTCTTTGATGAACCAAACTAAAATAATAAATTTCAAAAATTAAAGATTATATCAACTCACAAATTTTCCTGAAACTAATAATACTATATTTATTCAATCAATTGAGAAAGCATACAAGTAAACGACTATCTTACCATTTATGGCCTCCCTAATGAAATGTAGGGATGATAAAGATGGGGCAAAAGAAATCCTCAAATTTATGAGCTTTCTTAAGTAAAGAATCTAAATATGGACACTTTTCTTAATAAAAAGTTGAACCTTAATTTGACACATTATAAAAAAAAACTAATCTTTTTTACTAGACTTAATCTCGTTAATGAGTTTGTCATGCCAAATTAAAATTTTCAGCGACTAGCTTTTGGCCAAAAAAAAAAATGACTGAGTGACTAAATGCAATTTAAGGTCCTTTTCACAACTGAGAAACGAGTCAATGGCTGCCAATTCCTTCAAAAGATATATGTACTGTATAAATGTTTACCAAGTTTGTACACTTTCGTGAAAAATAAAAGCATCAATATAGTAGTCCTAACCAATATAGTTGATTAGTAAGGATATTTTATGAAAGATAACTTCTATTTATTACAAATAACTAACTTAACTTTTTTTTTAAATTTCCTCAAATTAGTCAATTGGGTCTTATAATTAGGACCGGAGTAGTATTAACTAATACTACTATAAAAGCCTAACACCGAGTTAGGAAGCCCCAACCCCAAATATGCCTAATTCCATCACTGATTGTAAATTTAAAAAAAATATACGAAATTAAATAAGATTATTATAAAAAAATGTAATGAATATCTCATATAATGTCTTATGAAAAAATGGCTAAAAATATTACTCTACATGCCACAGCCACATAAAAAGGATCGGTGGAAATATTGGGATGTCATGCATATAACTAGAATTCGTTCTATGCTGAAAATTGTGCATAATTAGATTATATACATACTAGTATGTGTGTGCTAGATACATTATAAAAGTGTTATTAAAATTGAATTTGATTGTAGAGAAAGAGATGCTAATTAAACATATAAAAAGGTAATACCTCCGGTACTTAATATAAGGTTTTGTTTGACTTTTATTTTGATTCTAAATATAAGAGCCCAATCCACATTATCGCTCATATTTGTGTATTTTTTCTAAGGTAGTCATTCTAATAATGGTAGTTTTAACCTATATATTTGATTGGCAAAGATATTTTAGGAAAGACAATACCTATTTATAAAAAATAACTAACTTTACTTATTTTCTTAATATCCTCAAATTAATCAATTAGCTCTTATAATTAGATCGGAAGTAGTATATTTTAAAATAGAGGTTATCTTGAGCTTTGTGAAAAACGTAGGACATAAAATTTGCTCCTACTAATTAATTTTGTGATTTTTATAAAATTATCCAGTAATCTATGTTTTATTAATTAAGTAAAAGATTAATTTCATTCATATTCCATATCAAGACATAATTTTTTGATTTGGGAAATCCATGATTATTTGGATTCTGATATGTAAATTACCTTCCCTACTTTTGTTTTTTTTTTTCCCCGTTCTGGCATTATTTGCTTTTGCCATAAAACTCTTTTGTCTCCCCATCGCCCTTTTTTAAACAACTGGTTTTCTTTTTTTAGTGGAATAAACAATTGGTTCTTTTAGTTTATTTTATATTGTTAAACTCATGTATTGGATTCCGGAAATCTGCAATGATTTAGTTCTCACCTGTGAAGTACCTTTGTTGCTCATGTTCTAGAAAGCTTCTTTTCTCATTTTTCCTTTCTTATTTCATTCTCTCTTTTTTAAAATAATTGTCTCATTTGATTGATTTTCTAGGTGTCATGACATTATTGTCTGTATCACTAAAGTTCATGACAGAATCTGGCTTACATATCAGAAATCTTAAGCATTAAGACTTGAGCTATATTTCTAAACCTGTTAATGAAAATATAGCTTTTATTGATTAATAAAGAATTACTGAAACAAAATATTGACTTTTAGAGAATAAAGTTCATAAAATCTTTAGATTTTGTTTATAAATTTACGATGAACCGTGCACCCTTTCATAACTTGTATATATTGGGTTCCATATGCCTTTGTTATAGTCAGAGGAAACACAAACCATGGCAACTTCACGAAAGTATTTGGTTTTCGTTTTGTCTTTGCTGCATCTTCTTCTAATTTCTGCTCACAGTTTTGCTTCCATACCCCATGATGTGCCTTCCGGTCCAGATCCAGTAGGACATAAGTCTCCACCTCATGCAGCATTTGTTAAGCCATTTTCAATTTCCAAGAGTTATAACTCTTTAAACTATGAGATTAATAGAAAAGTCCCATCTGGTTCAGGAGTGATTGAACCTCCATCTTCTCATTATGTGAAGCAAGCTTCACTTTCCATACTACATGAAGTACCTTCTGGTCCAAATTCAGGAGGACATAAGTCTCCGCCTCGTGTTCCATTTGTTAAGCAAGATTCTATTTCTAATGGTTACAGTTCTTTAAACTATGAGATTAACAGAAAAGTACCATCTGGTTCAGGAATAATCGAGCCTCCGGTCTTTTCTCAGGTGAAGCAAGCTTCAGTTGCCAACGGTTACAACTCTTTAAATTATGAGATTAACAACAAAGTTCCGGCTGGTTTTGAACCAATTGACCCTCCAGTGTTGCCATACATGAAGCAAGCTTGAGCCGACTGTTTGAATTACGAGACTAATAGAAAAATCTCTACCAATTTAGATCCTTTATCAAGACTTGCCTGGTACTTTTAATTGCACATCTAGCAGTGCAATCTACCATTTTCATGTAATATCAAGACCTTTGTTTGAAATAAAAGGCTCTATCCTGCTTCAATATGTAGACTTTATCTAAATAAATGATGCATTTACAATTATATTTACTTTCACTATCATTTCAATTTCACTGAAAGTTTTAATTTGTTCCAGCAACAGCTACACAAACCTCATTGTTCTTGGACGACTTGCAGTTTTTTTTTAATGTGTTTTGTTTTGTTCTCGGGAATATCTTCACCTCTCACCTGCCAAAAAAAATCTAACTGCTTATTACATGATAGATGGTCATAATATTTAGTTATATTATTAATGTTAATATTAATACATATGATATAAATGTTTAGTTGTATTATTAGTGTTAATATTAACACATATAATCAATATGTATTATTCACATATAAATTTATGCGTACAATTCTCTTACAACCATGACATGCATAGATGCGTTATTCACAGGTGAAAAATGGCATGATCGATATTTAAAAAAAAAGATCAAACAATATTAATAAAAAGAATCACTCTGGCTTCATGTAAAATGCAAGACTCATAGTTTAGTTAAATAAAAATTAAATTGAATATATGGAAAAAAAAAAAACCAATTAACGCGTAAGTGGTGGGTGTTCTCATCATTAAATAAGTGATTCCATGTTTGAATCTCAACCCTTGTCTACATGAGCAGCCTAATTAAAATGGGCCTTTTTTTTTTTTTTTTTTAATGTTACTCGTGAAAGATTATACTCCGCTATTAGTGCAATATCCCACTTGTGCTTCACCCAAGGAAAATCTTGCTTTTTCTTGGTCAAAAAAAAAAAGAAAGGAAAATCTTGCTTTTTACATCGCATTTTAATTAATATTTATTAAAATTTGAAGATATTTGAATGAATGCAATTAAGCATCTATTTTTCATGCATCATGGATTATTTTGGTGATGACATCATGGAAATTTAAAAATAGATTGTATGATTCATACTCATAAACAATAATCATTGTTATTTATTTTATACTGATTCTGGGTCTTTCTTTTTTTTTTTCCAGAAAAAATTCCTTAAAAAGACACTTAAATAACATGAATTCTTATTTGGGTTATTAAATTTGTTAAACTCACAATTAGGCCATATGACCCAAAAATTAATTTTAAAATTTTATGAAATAGCTCTAATATTTATTTCATTAGAAACCAAAAGAGAATTCTAAATTAACATGTTTTATTTTGCACTTAACACATTTTCACTGTAAATTAATAATTTTCCGTTTTCATAACATACCTGCAACAAATTTTTAAATAAAATTTGATCACAATATAAATTTAAAAATTAATAATTTCAATTATATAGGTAACAAATTTTAGTTCTAAATTAACAATTTTATGTACTCAAAGCACTTGCAGTAAGAGTTTGAACGCAACTTGATCACAATACAACATTAAAAAGTAACATGTTACATTTTACAGTTTTAGGTTTAAATTAACAATTTTTTGTTTCTAAAACACACTTGCAATAAATTTTAGAATAAAAAATAATCACTATACAACTTTGAAAATTAACAATTTTAATTACGCAATTTCAATTCTAAATTAAAAACTTGAAAATGATAGAAAATTCTCATTTCTTTAGGCTTCTAATAAAAAAGATATTAGAGTCATTTCATAAAATTTTAAAACACCTTTTTGGGTTATGTGACCTAATTAGAGATTTGATAAATTCAATGATCTAAATAAAGATTTGGATTATTTAAATATCTTTTTAAGGGATTTTTTTCATATTTTTAGTACTAGGTAGAATTATATTAAATATAAAAATGAGTTATATAATAAATTTATAAAGGTCTCTGTTAATTAATCTAAAATATAAAAAGTATAAAAAATTGTCTTATGTTTTTGGAACAAATAAAAATATTGTTTTAAATAGCGCAGGTTGGCCTACTACTACATGTTTTATTGGGCTAGCCCAGTTTGATAAGTCGGCAAAACATCCAACAAGGGTTTCAAAAAGCCCAAGCTTGGTATCACCGTTCTTGTCCTCTAGATCTGGATATAATGCGCCGATGTTCTTTTGTTCTCGCTCGTAATTTCCTTTCCATCCCGCGATCTTTTCATCCATCCGAACATCTCCGGGTACGTTTTCCTATTCAGGCGTCAGTGAGGAGACCACACTCGCTATCCTTCTTCGTCTCGATTCGCGCGAGGGGACTAGACCCCAGCGATGGCAGCCGAGACGCTTCCTTACGAAAACGGCGTCGTTGCCAACGGAGATCTGAGCACCACCTCCAATTCCGGCGCCGCCGCTACGAAGTCGCGGGAGAGCGAGCGCAGGCGTCGCCGCCGGAAGCAGAAGAAGAACAACAAGGCCTCGCAGGAGCCGGAGTCTAATGCCGCTGAAGATGGCGAGGCGGCAGATACAGCCGATGACGACGCGAAGGAGAATACGGATCCACAACAGGTTCGTTTTGTTTTATGTCGTTTATGGCCTTCAAATACTTTGGTGAGCTTGATTAGCGGTACGGAGTTGGGGTAATTTGTAGTTCCATACTGCTTTTGATCACCGAAAGTGTGGAAACTAGACACTATACAGATTGGTCCTGATGGTACGTATTTATGTTTGATGGAAAATATAGCAGTGAAGCTAGGGTTACGTACTTGAACGAAGCTGGTCATTTGGCATTGTGTGTGAGAGGCGTTTGGTCTTAATTCCTATGTTTTTTGAGAAATTGTAGGAAGAGAAATGGGATGGAACGGGTCTGTGGCTTTGGGGGTATCTTAATTTGATTGGCGGGGTTCAACTTTCCGTTCAGTTTAGGACTTCTTTGGGAAGGGTTTTGTTTTTATGGACTGATTACTTTGGTTTATGGAGCAGTTAGGTTTCACGTGTTCATTGTATTCAGACCAAGGAAAATAGGTCAAAGTTAGGACTGCGGAAGCTATTGAGTGTGTTTACTAATGAACAGCGAATGTGGATAATCGTTGGTTATTAGTTTAGGAGGTTTGACTCTTTGGAAGTTTTGAATTCTAGTATATTTTCGAAAGTGAGAAGTTCATGCTGATTCGATTATAAGCTAAATATATGGAATATGGTTGTGTCATCTGCTTAATTTTTGTTAGCAACTGGAATTTGTTTAATGTTAGCCTTTTTCCCCCTTGAATTCTGTTATGGATGATTGAATGCTATGGGTGCATTCGGTATGCATTTGAAGCTTCAGTTTCCAACCCCAGGCTATTCTTGTATTTCTTCCATTGAGCTTTCGTCACAATTTTCTCGTTGTTTTGGGAATTATCTTGGCGATCAGATAAGATTTTATGCCAATCATAATTTGCAATTGTTATGCGGCAGAAAATATTGATGCCATCAACCTAAGTTTGTGTTTACAACTGTATATGACCGTTAATTCTATGTAGGTTGTTGAAAATGTTGAAGTTGAGTACGTTCCTGAGAAGGCAGAGCTAGATGAAGGTTTGGATGAAGAATTTAGAAAAATATTTGAGAAGTTTAGTTTCACTGATGCTACTGGCACTGAGGTGATGAATGTTTCTCTACTGTTGATTTCTCATTTTGTCTTCTCTGTGCATTATTTCCTCAATATTGTGCTTCTATGCGATCAGGATAATGATCAGAAGGACGAGTCAGCAGAAAATGCTGCTGCTACTAAGAAGGCTGATTCTGATTCTGAAGAGGAAGAAAATGATAATGAGCAAAAAGAGAAAGGCGTCTCAAACAAGAAGAAAAAGGTCTAGCTGTTTGTAATGATGTTCTTTTTGTTCTCTTTTGGTATTTCAACTGTTTCTTATCCTTCTGTTGCACTAATTTAATTTATTACGCTAAAAAATTTATGTTGTGTTCACAGCTTCAACGACGGATGAAGATTGCTGAATTAAAACAAATTTGCTCAAGGCCCGATGTTGTTGAGGTTGGAATGTGATGCTTATTAATTTTAGGAGTTTGATCTCCTTTCATTGCCCTTTACTTTTATTTTGGTGTCAGCCATTTTGCTAATTTACAGTTCTTTTTGAATTTTAAGGTGTGGGATGCTACTGCAGCAGATCCAAAGTTGCTCGTGTTCTTAAAATCATATCGAAATACTGTTCCTGTACCAAGGCATTGGTGTCAGAAGAGGAAATTTTTGCAGGTTAATAAGCAATTCTCTATTTACTTTTGTATGTTAAAGATGGAAATATGTCTGATGGGTGTGGTCAACATGTGGGATGTGGGGATTAGGCTGTGGAAGCTACCGTCGATAAGGTTTCTCTTATATGTATATATGTGGTGCTTGCAGGGGACCTGCTGTGACAATCACCGAGCCTGGACTTGTAGGTGTTTGGCCATGGGCATCCTTGAATCATCATTTCTCTTTTAATATTTTGTAGTTTGCATGGGGATATGGACCTTTATATGATGTCATATGATGGGGTTTATTTTGTTATGACCTTTTTGCGTGATCCTATTGGCCATTTGTACATCACTAAGGCGCTAATAGTTCTGCTTTGAATTTTCAGATACCTTTCCATTGTGATTAATGCTGGGGCTGAATTTCTTTGTCTTCAATGATTTATACTTGATGTGTTTCCTGATATTACATTAGAAAATTACTTGTATCTCATCGAGAGCTGGGTTATTGTCTTTTTCAGGGAAAACGAGGTATTGAGAAACAACCCTTTCAGCTTCCTGATTTTATTGCTGCCACCGGAATTGAAAAAATCAGACAGGTAACACAATCCCATAGGTTCATGTCATATTTTTCAATAAACACCATCATTGAAAAGAAAGAAATCAGTATAATGTGTTTTGATTCAGTTACAAAATTCATTTGTGAATGTCATAGAAGCTGCTTTCACTACCTGTTGGGCCTGTTTGTTTCAGCCTTTTTTTTTCCCCCAATGAAACAAACAGCCGTGGATTAGCTTTGAGCCTTTGATGGTTCTTGAAAAGGTTGATATAACTGTTGTTTGGAAGTTTTGATGGGGAGTACATTAAATGACTTTCAGTCAAGCTGTCAACATTTCTCTCCTTCTGTTGATGATTAGTTGGACATAAGCGCATCTTATAAGAATGATAGGATTTTCTTTATATTATTAGATATCAGACGGGCGGGTGGTTATGTTTCATTGTCTGCCTGCTTGGTACGTTCGAGAGAAAGTTGGGGAAAGGTAGGAGATGGAAAGTGAGGAAAGATTGTATGATATGTTGGAAATGGAAGGATAGATTGATCACACTATTACTCTTTGCACAGCTGATCATTCTGTTCTTTTTCCATCAGAAATGTGCTCTTTGGAATGGAAAGATTTGATAAACGCTTATAATGTCCAAATAAACATAATTTTTTAAATGGAAGGACCTTAAATTTGAAATTATTTTGAAGAGCCGCGCAAAAAAATTTTGGCTTAAGATTATGAATAGTAATTTTTCGCGCATATTTAAAATGTTTATTTTCTTCCGTGCCAACATTTTTTTTAAAATCTCTGGACCTTTCTAAATGATTTTTTAATTGAAGTTTCTTCAATATGAGATCATAAATACCTTCAACATGAGGTCCTCAGATGCAATTGTCCCTTTTATTTTATGTTAGGAGTATATTTATTAACAAAAATTCGTTTCCCCTCCTCTTCTGCTCACCTTTCGTTTCCATTCCTGTGCTACTACCTGTTCCCACTGCAACAAATATTAAGATGGAAAGGTTTTCCCATTCCTTTCTCTGTTACACCAAATATGATTTTGGTTTAGAGGACTCCTTTCTAATCTCATTTATATTTTCCTTTACTTGCTCTTAAGAATCTTTTACACTGCCAAACATGACCTCTGTGCGCGCTAATGGTCATTTAATGCCATAGCTCTCTCCGGTATATGCCTTTTAATTACGTTTTCTGTTGAGATTAGATTCAGATTTATCTGCGACTGGCATAATGTAGCCTTCATTCATCTGATCCTCTTACAAACCATGTGGGCTGGTTGTATCTTCATCTGTTATGGCATGCAATGGAACTCTTTTATGTTATGCATCTTTCAAAGATGTTTGTCTACATTGCTATATCGTTGTAATAGCTACTTAGCCTGTCATGTTATTTTATGTCCTCTCGTGCAGGCCTACATTGAGAAAGAGGATAGTAAGAAGTTGAAGCAAAAGCAAAGGGAGCGGATGCAACCAAAAATGGGAAAAATGGACATTGACTATCAGGTTTCTTTAATAATTTCCTCTGTGATTTGTGCCATTGCCTAGTGTGGTTTTCAGTTGTGTGTATCACTCCAACCTATTTTCTCACAATACTTCTCTTGGTGGCTACTTGTTAGGTTCTTCATGATGCATTCTTTAAATATCAGACTAAGCCAAAGCTGACAAGCCTAGGGGACCTGTACCATGAGGGAAAAGAATTTGAGGTATGGTATTTACTAACTGGCATATAATAAGCGGATTCTTTGACTTGTACTACTGTGCTTTTGAATGGCTTTCTAGCACAGGCAGATTAGTTGATTCATTGCTTTTATTGCTGACTTAATCAGGAAAATCTACCTTTCATGGTTATCATACTGTTGATAAGGGTTCTTTCACGATTATTAATATTTTTATTGTTTAGTCTAATTTAATTTCCATTGTTCTTATGTCATTTTTCAAATAAAATTTACTAATGTGGACATTGATTTGTCATCTGTGACGCTGAGTATTGTTATTTATGTCAACAAAAGGGATGAAGTCACATAATGAATTGATATTAGCTCATGTAACACTTGATGCAACCTATGTTAAGTGACTATGTAAATTGACTTGAATCATAAATATTTAAATGAGTAATCGGGTGATGCTATTCTGATAATTTTTTTCCACCTGAAACTGATCGACACATATATAGGGAGAGAGGTTGACTAAATTGCCTAAATCCTCTCTCAATAATTGAGAAAATAAATCAAAGATATTATTCTATGATCGCTAAAGATAATGCAGAAATTAATGCTAATAAAGATGGTGATGACAAGCCGCTCGACAGATAAAACTAGGGTTGTAGACTAAATGGTCCCTGTAGGAAAAAGCTCGCTTCCAACAAAATGCCAAGATGATGTTTAGTTGGTTACATATGCAAAGCTTAACAGAATACCAACGAAGGTTTCATGGTAGAGGCTAAATTAAAATTTGTTCTACAACTACAAGGACAAGGTACAAATGTCTGAACTGTACAGATCAAAAGAAAAATTTAGCAAAAACAGAAGCTTATCCCCACCACGCCCTCCTTTTTTCCTTGTTTCTTTTTTCTGGTCCCTTGTCTGGGGGAGGCCTAATGTTGCCCCAATAGATTGTTAATCAAGTAGGTTGTTGGCACCTTTTTTATTCTATCTGATAGGCTGACATTCAAGTTGTTCTGTGTACAGGTAAAGTTGAGGGAGATGAAACCTGGCCTTTTGTCCCATGACCTGAAGGAGGCTCTCGGTATGCCTGAGGGTGCTCCACCTCCATGGCTTATAAATATGCAGGTAATATTAGAGAATGTCGTGTGTAGTTTGTTTGTTGTATTGTTTTATTCTTGACCCTTAGACTATATTATGTTTTCAGAGATATGGTCCTCCACCATCATACCCTCATCTTAAGATCCCCGGTTTGAATGCTCCTATTCCTCCTGGAGCTAGTTTTGGTTATCATCCTGGTGGATGGGGCAAGCCTCCTGTTGATGAAGTAAGTGTTTAATGCCAAATATTTCCTCTGCCATTTGGTTACTTTGATTTGTTAATGGTTTACTGGATTTTTTTATTGAAAAAATTTTCTTACACTTTGTTTACACTTATTCTATTGTACTTTTTACAGTATGGGCGTCCTCTTTATGGAGATGTTTTCGGTGTTCATCAACAAGAACAACCTAACTATGAGGTGGGTTATCACGTTAGCTGTGTGATCTGTTACGGATTTTATTTTTTAAATGTCAACTAGCAAGTCTTCCTGTGCATTAATTGCATGGGCTGCGATTTTTTCCCCCTCAAATAGATGCACAAAGTGAGGAATGTAATTTGTGTACAGTAACTATGGTTTATGTATATATGATGTTGATTCCTGCCTTTATTGTAAGGTCGCGCCAGAGTAGGGCAGTTGGGTTTAATTTAGATTCGTCTTTTGTCTTCAGCCTACTTAGTTATAAGCTTTTACCCACGAAATACAGTCTTGCATTTATTTTCGTGTTGCTAATTGTGTTTTACCTGAACATGACATTAATTCAGGAGGAACCAGTTGATAAGACCAAACACTGGGGTGACTTGGAGGAGGAGGAAGAGGAAGAGGAGGAGGAGGAAGAAGAGGAGGAGGAGCAGGAAATGGAGGAGGAGGAGCTTCAGGATGGTATTCAATCTGTTGATAGTCTTTCAAGGTATTGATGTTTTATCGTGTAGCTTTTATCCTAAGGTTGTGGAGGTTCTTTAATGAGGGCAGTAAGAAATTTGCCTTTTTTCATCTGGCTTAGTCTTTTCACATGTGGAGAAGGTGGAGATGGGTTTTTAGATAGTGTAGTATATAATCTTGTGCTGTGATTGTTAACTTATTTATTTTTCCTTTCAGTACTCCCACTGGAGTGGAGACACCTGATGTTATTGACCTTCGTAAGCAGCAGAGGAAGGAACCTGAGAGACCTCTTTATGAAGTGAGTCTTTCTATGCTATAATTCTTCATCAACTTCTGCCTTTTTTTAAAAGGCGACGAAAAGACCTTCTGCCTGTTTGTTCTACAGTTGTCAACTAACCATTTATTACTTTCTAGGTACTTGAAGAGAAGGAAGAAAGAATTGCTCCAGGAACTTTACTTGGAACCACCCACACGTATGCAATAGTTGTACCATTCTATATATACCTGTGTGCTTGTTAATTAATGCTATTGTTTGATTTGACCAAGTTTAATGCTTCTCTCCCCTCAGGTATGTGGTCAATACTGGCGCCCAGGACAAGTCAGCTGCTAAAAGGGTAAGAGGCGTTCTTATTGCCCTTTTTCATGGTTGGGGGAAGAGGGGAGGCGGGTTATTTTATTATAGTACTTTTTAGGCTAGTCCTCCTCTTTGTAAGTCCATTAGTTGTGCTGCATATCTTGTCTGAATTATGGTTTCTGGCTTTGTTACTTTCAGGTTGATTTGCTTAGGGGTCAGAAGACGGATAAGGTGGATGTTACTTTACAGCCGGAAGAGTTGGAAGCTATGGAAAATGTTTTGCCTGCAAAGTATGAGATGTTTTCAAGCGTGTTGTAATTATTAATGTATGAGTGATGTTAAACTTCACAGGATGTTGTTTGATATGACTACTGGAACTAATGCAGGTATGAGGAAGCGAGGGAGGAAGAGAAGTTGCGGAGTCAGCGTGAAGATTTTAGTGATATGGTTGCAGAGGTATGCTGCATTTGACTTTGATGTGACATCAGGTATCAATGTTCTTTTTAAACTAAAGGAGTCTTGATTTATGTTCAATTTTGTGGTCATGTGGTGCAGAATGCCAAGAAGAGGAAGAGGAAGATGCAAGAGAAGGAGGGGAAGTCCAAGAAGAAAGACTTCAAATTTTAGGCGTGGTATTTGTGTCTGTTTCTTTAGAGGGAAATGAGGAGCTTGCCATTCTCTATTCTGGCATTCTCATTTGAGGTGGGCTGTGGCATCAAGCGCCTGTGTATCAAATGTTACTTTATTTTGGGCACTGATGTATCAAATGTTAATGGAAGCAATAGTTTAGTGGAGACTAAGATGTACTAGAATGAACCGGAAGTTGCGTGCAGTGTTGTGGCCTTGACGAGACAAGCTAGGTGGTTATAATTAGAATTACTAGTGTGACGTGGGTGTTGGAGAAGCCCTCGTCTCTTAGGAGTTATATTTGCGTTGGGTTAGTCGTGGCTCAAGCTGGTACCAGAACTTGTGCGCTTCTACCTTTTGTAAACTAATAATGTGATATCTAATTCACATGCTTCGCATTAGTGTTTGGTGGACTGGTCTCGCGAGCCCGATTTAGCCGTTCGCTCATCGCATATTTTCAATGTGAATCAATCAGTTTGATCTCCACGGGTCTTTGCTGATGTCTTTTGTGCGCGACGTGTCATATTTTTATGGATAGGGATGGAACAGGGCAATAGGAACCAGATCTCCCTAATTTATGCTTGCCAGCTGCTTCCCAAGGGGTTTTGTTTTCTTTTTAATTATTTCTAATGAATAACTTCTTGCTAAAAAAATGAATGGTTATGGAATTGATTTTATTTTAAAGTATTAATTAAATTTCAATTAAATATAAAGATTAAATCATTTATATTGCATCTTAATAATCCAGATTTCCCTTTGGGACCAACCATAGTCTTGGCTTGCATTCTTCATTTCTTTTTAAGATGTGTGCTAGATTATGTGAGGCAAGTTACTTTGTTCCGAGTTTGTTGCTTAGTACATACATATGAGTTTATTATTTTGAGATATAGGTATTGGGAAAAATATTTCGAACTGCATGCAGCTATGCCCTTTAAATGTCCGTACTGTGCCTCAGTCCTCAAGCCATCAACCAAAAAATGCTCGACTGATCTATTGATTCCTTCCCATCATCATAATACATGATATTCCCCGTATTAATTACAATTTTGACTGCAATTTATATTACCACATGTAATAGGCTCGGTTGATGAAATTTACGAATACAAGCTAAGAGTCAGAGAATGGGTTTTCTTCAACACTAGCTTAATATTTTTGACCTGAGGTATGTTGCAACTGTAGTTTCATGAATTTGCATTTAAAACCTATTAACACTTGTAGAACGAATTAATCATCCCCAATCATTTTGTCCGAATTTGATTTAGGAAAAACCATACTCTTTGTATATTTGAGGGTCAAGTGGCGGATGACGCAAGGTTTAAAAAAGTGAAGAAGAAAGCTGCACTTTTAATCATTCAGGTCTCATCATCAATGGCAAGAAAGGTTTGCTTTTTTTTTTTTTTCTCCTTCAATTTGTTTAGGGACGTATGAAGATTCTTTCTCAACATCACAATACATAATTTTTGGCATTTTAATTAAAATTTATAGACTGGATGAATCACTTGTTCATTTGAGATTGGCGCATTCTGTGTTATACTCAGTAAATTTAATTGTGGATCTCTCGACAAACACATTCCTTTCTGTCATATCTCACTCTTGGATGTGTTTAGCAGAATATATCAATTCCTTTGGTGTTCAGGTAGGTTTTGTGCATGGCCCCCTTTATTTGAGATGCTTAATAAGTGCTCCTGTTGAGCTTTATCCGTATATTTATTTATCTTCCTTCTCTAGAACAAGAATGCTTAAGAGATGTTGATGCCATGCTTAGAGACATTTTAGTAATTATAAACAGTGTTGGACTCTAGAACCCCCTTGTCCCATATAAATCTTCTCATCTTCTGGTTCCATCCCTAATTGCAGTTGTGATGATTATTATTGTTAATATTTTTATACACAGAGCATCTCTGCGTATATGGGAAAGAAGTTATCAGGACAAGTGTTGGCGACTTTTGTGAGAGGAAACCTTGTCTTCAAGAATGGGAAGCATGCTCCTGCAGCCTGTGGTGTTCCAATCCTTGCTAAATGAAAAACTCTTCTCAGATCTTTCTTGTGCCCATCGTGATCCTTACTGGTTCTAGCAGATATGGCTTGCCTTGCCTCCAGGAATAGAGATGACAGTGTTGCCTTGCCTCACATATAGCCATTGCAGAGGGGGAACCCATCTCGTCATCTAATTACTTTGTCAACAATTTTTCCAGTGTTTCCAGCAAAATAATCATTCCCATACAGGAATTAATGGATTGCTTTTTTCTGATTTAGTTATTAAGCGTTCTTATTGCACACGGACAATGGAAGTTTATATTGCCATAGGTGTCTGTTTAGTTTCCGCTTGCCTCTGTGACTCCAAAAAAGAGAAAGAGAAATGAAAATTTACACCAAAGATTTACAACTCATCCAAATTTTTACAACAAAAAATTACAAACGTAACCATTACAATAGCTTTATTTAAATTTATTACTTTCCACGTCTTGTGCGGTGCTGATCAGAAAACTCAAGAGGTCTGCATGTATACTGGGTTACCAGACTAGACTTGGGGTATCTTAACATCTCCAGCAAGCACAAATCTGAAGATATATGGTGCTGCCAGTTCATAAAGCGTTTCCTCTCCTCTCCTAAGAAGATGTTCGAAGATAAAAATACTATCCCAGTAAATAACCTTTATATGGAAACATGTGGTGGCAGGACGGTCCCTTGTTCGTTATTGACGCTAGCTACGACATCCATGAATATGAAGGGGAAGGAGAAGGAGGATGAGAATGTGAAAATAAGTGATGTTAAGCGGAGTAAGTGGAATGTGAACGAGAGACTTTTTGCGGGCATTACGTTCACATTTCAATATGTAGATGCATTTTAGATGATGAGTACATGTGGAGGTCAGAGGGAAAGCAGGATGGCTTATTGCAGGTTTACGTTCACATATCAAATGTATAATTACATTCATTAATACTACTTCCGATCTTAGATATAAGATCTTGTTGACTAATTTGAGTAGATTAAGAAAATAAATTAAGTTAGTTATTTATAATAAATAGGTGTTGTCTTTCCTAAAATATCCTTGATAATTAAGTATATTGGTTAGAACTATTATTATTAGAAGAATTACTTTGAAGAAAAATGTATAAATGAGAAGAAAAGTAGATTGGGGTTTTATATGTAGGACCAAAATAAAAATCAAATGAGGTCTTATATTAAGGTTCGGAGGTAGTAGCATTTATCTTTTGTGTGTGTGTGTGTTTTTTTTTTTTGGAATTATTTTACTTTTGTTAGCATGACCCCTGAGGGCAATTATTATTATTATTATTTTTCGGCCTGATGAGGGCGTGAATTATCCATCGACTGAATTCTGAGCTTTGGAGTTTTACCAATATGGCAAAAGTGGGGCAATGTTTGGGCTTTTTCTTTCTTTGATTTTTTCCCTTTTATCATTATTTTGTTTGGTGTTACTATTAAAGTTCATAATTTAACCACCTTTGTTTTTTCACCAATATAGGAATAATAAAGAAGCATACATTGAAGGCCCGATTGGCATTCTAAGCGTGAAATCTTTTATCAATTTGAATCAACAGCAATAACAAGCACTTATCTTATTAGATGGGGTCGGTTACATAAATCACACAATTTCATTGTGCTCTATCAACAACTAAGGGTGTGTTTGGCATCACGTTTGAGAGCCCAAACTGACTTCTCAACCGGTAAAAGCTAGCTTCTATAAAATGGTGATGATTGGCTCAACGATTTGGCAATCTGACTTTTTTGCCTCAAATGAGCTTTTTCCATAAGTTGCATCATCTTACTTTTGACGGTGAAGACCATCAGTGCGGCAGAGAAAACTACTGGAGAGCATTTATTATTGCACTTTAAATTCTTTGCCTTCCTAAGCCTCTTTCACATACATATCTCCTCTCTGAAAAAACGAGAAAGAATAGAGCCAGTGGCAAATGATTTATACACACACATATCCATTAAATATATTCAATTAAGTATTTCAGTATTTTTTTCAATTTCTTCATAATAATAAATTAATTTCTTTATTTCTAATAATTTTATTTTTAATATTTTCTTTATAATTGTCACATTATATACATTTAATATTAAATATATATTACTTAATAAAATTTATGTCTTTTTAATCATTTTGCATCTAAACTGACTTTTTTATTAATCATCCAAACAACTTTCAATTTCTCAAACTGACTTTTTTACAAAAGCCAATCCAAACATAAGTCTTTGGCTATGTTATTGACCAGAAAGTTTCGTTCAATGACCTTATTGAGTGTTGTCCTTGGTCTTTCCTTACCTCTTTTTTTATTTATTTAATAGAACTCCAAATTGTTTGCTCATCAGCACCTCTAATGGCCTACTTTGCACATGCATAAATCACCTCAAGTGATGTTCAAGGATTTTCTCTTTAATAGGCACCACGCCTACTCTTACTCTGATATTTTCATTCTGAATTTTATTTTTTCTTGTATGACCACACATTCATTTTAACATTTTCATTTCTACTACCCTGGTTTTATGCTCTTGTTTTTCCTTAATCGCCCAACATTCATTACGATACAACACAGCTAGTCTTATGACAGTCTGATAGAATTTTTTTTTTTAAGCTTCTTAGGTGTCTTCTTATGACAAATAACTCCATTAGTCTTCCTCCACTTTAACCACTTAGCTTGTATTATATGAGAAACGTTTTTATCAATTTTACCATCTTCATATATAATGAATCCTGGGTATTTAAACTTTGACATTTGAAGAATGATTTGATCTCCCATCTTTACCTCTATAACTCCATAATATCAACTTGAATAGAACGAGACAAAAAATAACGGAGAAAGGAAGGCAGAGTACAATCATAATAAATAAATGGTGATAAATATCATATATAGTGGCTATAAAAATATTAAAGGGAAAGTCGTCCCTCATTCATAATATATCGGAACATGCGATCAACATCTATAGTCCTACATAAGGCATCTTTTAGAAGGTTTTCATGATGCTAAATATAAAATAAATCAATTTAGGAAAAATGACAAAAGAGAAAACTGAAAATTTGTAAACAAAATTTGGTGTTATTTACAAATTTAGCGTTGTCAACAACAAATAAAGCATTGTTACCAAATCTAATTTGAGATCAGTAATTGTTAAGCCAGTTTAGGAGTGTGGTCCGTATATATAATTACAGCTTTTGGCTTCAATGAACGCATTTGAGGCATAATAATTATAATAAAATTATAAACATCAATCTGAACCAGAGTAAACCCTGCTTCTGAATCAGCTCTCGTAAGTTCATGCAATATTGGGCTCATCTTCCGTTTCTTATTGGGCCAACATAGGCCCATTTGTAAGATGGTTCCAATCTGGTTTCATTTTGTATAAGAATTAAAAAACAAAACTAATGCAGAATAATGTCAAG